TTCAGAGAACAAGATCAGCCTTTGTAGAAAAAATACTTCTCCTCCCCAGCTCATCCGTAGGTCAGTCATGGCCCAGGACCCCACCATGCCAGGCGCTGTATGAACCCAGAACAGAAAGATGGCCCCGCTGCAGAGCGCTGACAATCTATCATTAACTCACTGTACAGGTGGGGAAACTGAGGCAGGGGGAGCAGCACAGCCACACAGCAAGTCCATGGTAGAAACGAATCACAAACCAGGCGGCTTCATTTCTAACCCCCTCATCACACCCCACTCCCAAAGCTTGGAAGACAGAATCCAGGGGAGTTAAGTCCTGCTCTGACCACTAGACCCCACTCCCCCCCCCAGAGCTGGGCCCACCATCCAGTCTAATTCCAGCTCTGCCACTGACCTTGGGCAAATTTCCTTCGCCCCTCTGTGCCTCAGTTTCCCCTCTCGCCCTTCCTGTATTTAGGCTGTAAGCTCCCTGGGGAAGGGGCTGCCTGTGCAGCCTCAGCCAGAGCCCCTGGCTGCTACCCTAATGCATCTCTCAGAGGTGCCCAGCCAGCCCGGTTTCACTTGGGGGAGGCGCAGCGTTCCCCAAGGAAGCTGCTGCCTGAATCCTCAAACAGCCGCGCTCCGGAGGGTTTCCCACATCGCCCTCTGCAGTATCTAGCTTGGAGCCACCTGTGCATGCAGCGGGGCTCTGACAAGCGGGACTGGCCCCAGCCGGGAGGTCACAGCCAGCCAGCAGATCGGCCCACTCCCACCCAGCTGCCTGCTGGGGAAGGGACGGTTTCACCCAGTTTACCGAGCCGAAGCAAGATCCCAGCCCCACGAGCAGCAGGGTCGAGTGGTTGAGCGGCCAGGACTCCTGGATTCTGTTCCTGGACAAGTCACTTCCCCTCTCCACAGCTGGCTCGCCAGCGGCAGTGCCAGGAAAGCTTTGGACCAAAGGTGGAGAGGAACAACAGCCGAAGGTTTCAGTGGGATCCGAGAACAGGTGCTGCTGTCCCTGCTCTCCTCTGCAGCGCCCCAGCATGCCTCGGCCCTGCCGTCGCACCTGTCGTGGGTCACCTTCCCTTCCGCGCAGCTGGCGTGCGGGCGAGAAGGGACGCAGGAAAGGGCTGTGCTGGCCGGGCCAGGCTTGGAGGAGGGGGCAGAAAATGAACGGAGAGTTTGTAGCTCCTGCTGTGGGAGGGGAGTGGAGGCTAGTGGTTAGAGTGTAAGGGGATTGGGACTCAGGACTCCTGGGTTCATTCTACACCTGCCCAGGGATGGAGCATGGAAGTAGGCAGACCTGGGGGCTAGGAGTCTGGACAGCCCAGCTCTGCTCCTTTGAACAAGCTCTTTGTCCTCTCGGGCTGTTTACCCTTCTGTTCGGAAAGCCCCATGAGTCCCTCCCTGGAGCGGCCCATGCAAGGGAAAACACCCTCAGCTGCTGTGAAAGGGCAAGGCCTGCCCGCAATGCTCCTGGGAGGGGCAGTCCGCCTGCCCGGCCCCCTCCCAGATCCCGGCACGTGCCAAGCCTTCATTCCAGCGGCAGGGCCACCTGCCATGTTTACTGGCGCTCTGCAGCGACACGGCTCCGGGTCTGCTCATCACTGCCTTGGGCAGCATTTCAACACAGGCCCTTCCGAAGGCGGGGCAAAGGACAGGGAACCCCACGCCCCAGCACCCCAGACTGGCTGCACCCTGCACATGAGGCAGTGCCAGGGTGCAGAGATCAGCACTAGCTGCCAACGCCCGGCTCCTCGCTTGCTTTGCAAGGACCTCCAGCTGCTTCAACAGCTGGCTACCAGCAGCAGCCTTCCAACAAGCCGGGCAGTGTACGTGGTTTGGCTACCATCCACGGTGGTGTCGGCGTTGGCCACAGCAGCCGCTCTGGTCTGTCGGGCACACACCCGAGTGCCTCCCACGCAGCAGGGCCCAGCCAAGGAAGCAAGTTGTAGGTAAGAACTAAAATAGCTCCTGCGACCATGTCCAGGAGGCAGCGGAATAACTACTTAGAGGCACTGCCAGGTCAGAGAACCGTTTCGCATGACCTGAAAAGCAGCTGGTAAGAGGAGGAACAGCCAATTGTAGCGTTGCCGTTAACTATCACACAGGAGGGCAGCACCTGACTATTGGCAACATGTACAAGTGCTAGAAATCCAGAGCCTACGAGGGGTGAACTAGAGCGCAGGGCATTAAATGAGGGGTTTGCTGTAACAGGCATAGTGGAAACCCGGTGGAATGAGGATAATCAATGGGACACTGTAATACCAGGGTATAAAATAAGCAGGAATGACAGAGTAGGTCCCGGTGGTGGGGGAGCGGCACCGTACGTGAGAGAAAACATCCAGTCAAATAAGGGAAAAACCTTCAGTGAATCTAAGTGCACCGTAGGCACTCGATGGGTCGAGATTCCAGACTTGAATCAAAAGAGCCGCCGTTGGAATATCCTACCGACCACCAGATCAGGATGGTGCCAGTGATTATGAAATGCTCAGGGAGATTAGAGAGGCGACAAAGGCAGAAAATGCAGTAATAATCGGGGAGCTGTAGTGGGACCTGTGCTGTTCAACCCATTCATTAATGATCTGGGAAAGGGGGTGAGCAGTGAGGTGGTCAAATTTGCAGCTGATACAAAATGACTCCTGGTCGTTAAGTCCAAAGCTGGCTGCGAAGAGCTACCAAAGGACCTCACTCAACTGGGTGAGAAAACGGGCAGATGAAATTCAATGTTAGTAAGTGCAAAGTATTAGACTCAGAGACTTTAAGGCCAGCAGGGACCATCATGGTCGTCTAGTCTGACCTCCTGCACATCACAGTCCACAGCATCTTCCCCACCCACTCCTGTAACAGACCCAGACCCTCGGGCTGAGTTACCGACGTCCTCACATCAGGAGTTAAAGACATCAAGTTACAGAGAATCCACCATTTACACTAGTTCAAACCGACAAGTGACCCGTGCCCCCTGCTGCAGAGGAAGTCCCCCACAGGGTCTCTGCCAATCTGACCTGGGGGAAAATTCCTTCCTGACCCCAAATATGGTGATCAGTGAGACCCTGAGCATGTGGGTGAGACCTACCGTCTGACACCTGGAAAAGAAGTCACTGTAGTAACTCTGAGCCTTCCCCCTCTAGTGTCCTATCTCCGGCCGTTGGAGATATTTGCTAGTAGCAGTCATGGATGGGCCGTACGCCATTGAAGGCAACCTCATCATACCAACCCCATAAACGTCTCACGTTCAGCCTTAAAACGTGTTTGGTTCTTTGCCCCCACTGCTCCCCTGGAGGCTGCTCCAGAACTTCACTCCTCTGATGGTCAGAAACCTTCATCTAAGTCAAGCCTCAACTTACTGATGGCGAGTTTGTAGCCATTTGTTCTTACCTTGTGCCAACGTTGTCCCTTAACTCCTCCCTCTCCCTGGTGCTTTCCCCTCTTCTGTATTTAGAGAGAAATCGTTTGGGTAGGTTAAACAAGTTACGCTCCGGAAGGCTCCTCTGGTAAGGTAGGTTCTCCATTCCCCTGATCATTCTAGTAACCCTTCTCTGCACGTTGAATTCCCTCGTTCTTAACCACGGATGTCGGAAAATGTAACCCCAACGACACATACAAAATGATGGGGGTCTAAATTAGTAGTTACCGCTCAAGAAAGATCTTGGCGTCATCATGGACAGTTCCCTGAAAACGTCCGCTCAATGTGCAGTGGCAATCAAAAAAGCAAACCGAATGTTAGGAACCATTAGGAAAGGGATCGATAAGACCAAAAACATCATAATGCCACTATATAAACCCATGGTAGGCCCACATCCTGAACGCTGCAGGCAGTTCTGGTTGCCCCATCTCAGAAACAGATAGATTATATTGGAAAAGGTGCAGAGAAAGGCAACAAAAACGATCAGGGGTCTGGAACAGCTTCCATACGAGGAGAGATTAAAGACGACCCCCGAAGACAGGATGCTGGGCTAGAGAGACTCTTGGTCTGGCCGTTCTTATGTTCTCCTCGAAAGGGCTACAAAACTCTGCTTGTCCCTGCTGCCCTCTGCTGGCCAGCTGCTAGCACGCCCAGAAGGGGTCTCAATTCATGTTTAAAACAGGCCATTGGCCTCAAGGGTCAACAGAAGTTAAGCGTCTTGCTCAAGGGGCGTGTTACGGACACATGCGACCCCCCCCCCAGGACTGCAGAATGTTCCACTAGAGCTACAGCGATCGCTGCTGTGGAGAAGGAGAGCCCACCCCCCGTGACCCAGTTGCTCCCCACAGATCAGCGTTTGGGAACCTCTGCACCAGACCCATTAATATATTCCACGAAGAGAGGTTTAAAATCTGCAAGCCTCATCTGCCTCTCTCAGCTCTGCCCACCTCCAGCATCTCACCCGCTCCTCCTACACTGAGCCCCAAGGGAACCTCAGTGCCTCTCTCACGGGGGCCCAACCGAACAGCCCAGGGCGAGCTGCCTCCGCGGCTCAGATTCTTTAACAACTTATCCCAGACACCAGCGGAAGCCCGGCCCCAGTGGCATGCCAGCCAGCCAGCCCTGCAATGCTCCACTGAAGCACAGCACGGGATGCAGGGTCGTTACTCTCCTGCCGAGCACTGTGCATACTGTGTGCTCAGCGCCACCTACGCAGCAGTTGTTCCGCCGCGCTCTTGTTTTGTAGCCCCCCTGGATGCAACAAACCAACCACGTCAGGAAGCTACGTTTTGTTCTGCTGATCGTTCACGCAGGGAGCAGAGGGGACGAGGGCTCAAGTTCTGGAGGGAGAGGGCAGTGGCTGCAGGATTAAAAATGGCATTTAGCACGGAGGGGAGCTTCACCAAGTGGGAAGAAAGGGATTCAGTTTTCCAGCGGTGCTAGAAGCTTGGGGAGGCGGAAATCAGGGTGGTTCGAATACTTGTTTTCCAAGCGTTTCTGATGTCGTATGGCAGAGGGGACATCTGCCCTTCCAGACGACCATAGCTCAATACCAGGTCTCTTGGCAAGATGATTGCCGAGACCACCTTTAAGCAGCACGAAAGACAGACCCAGAGCATTAGTTACTTTCTAAGATGTATTGTCATCTCCACCAAGTCATTACAATGTTGGTTACAAGTGTGCACTCCAAAGAAAACAGGAACAAAAACAAAACAAAAAAGCCATCACAGTGTTGTTAGGTCTAGAATGTCAGTCTGCGACCGATATGTTACACGAGACATTTCAGCCTTAAGGCAGAGGAACAGTTACATTTTAAATTTAAAGGATTCTTTTTAAATGCCATTTGAGTTAATTTCAACTAAGTACAAAAGGTTGTTAAATTACAAACACCAACAAAAAAGTACTTCAGTTCGAAAGCCACCTCTGCGTGAAAAGATCTCAACCCGAAACAGGCAGGTGGGGGATCTTCCTCCCTCTCCCTCACAGGCCAAGACGCCGCTTGCTTGTTAGTAACCTGCTGAACGACTCAGACGCACGCAGCCCCAACGCGTCCAGAGCTGAATTCGCAACCGTTTGCCAAGTTCCCCTCACGCAATTTGCAAACAGCTGAGAGGCCAAAGCCAAGCTCAAGGGTAGCTGGAAGCGGTGGCGCGATCCCTGCAGGATCTATGCTGCAGAGACGCGACACCAGATCACTGCAGCGTGGGCAAGCCAGGCTGCTCCAGCAACCACAGTGCTGCAGGGCCAGGCTTCAGACTCCTAAAACAGGGATCAAGGCTCTTTTGCTATTTCAGAGCCAAAGGGGGAGGAACCCATTTAAGTTCTGGTACGTGCACAGCAAGTGTTCCTCCTTGGGGATCAGACCAAGCCGCCCGTCCTTGGAAGTGGATGTGTTAAGGCTGGTTGCATCACCTTCCATTTACACAGAAGCAACACCCAAGTGCTGGGTACAAACTGTACACGGGCTTATCCCGCCAAGCCGGTTTGCCCAAGAACGAGGCTGAGGGAAAAGCAGCCTGCAAGCAAGAGGACAGCTCTTCAGAAAGCCAAGGGCATGCCTGGAGAGCCGCATGCTCCTCTTTGGGTCCCATTTAGTGGAGAGTCCCAAGGCAGCAGGAGCTCTGCCTTTGCTGGAAGCAGCGTGCACTGGTGGGGCAGCAGAGACTGGACTTTGCCCTGCCTCGGCGCATGCTGCTTCCGGTCTGTTTCAGGTTGAGAGTTTGCACACACGTGGACGACAGAGACTGCCCACAACACAGTTCCCAGCAGGGCTTGCTCCAGAAAGAAAGAGGAGGAGCTTCTAAATTAAGTGGTGACCGAACGGCCAGCGCGTTCCTGTCAGGCTGCTAACACTCAGCGGCCCTTTCCCAGACATGTAAGCTTAAACAATGTCAGAAATAAACTTGCTAATTTCAGAGCTGAAGAAACAAAGTAACATCAGATATTTCCTTGGGGAGGCAGTTACATTCCTGGCTACCTGACCAACAGAGACTCCTATACCCAGCTTAACAGGAAGGGCCAGTTCATTTTTCAAACAAAAAACTAGGACAGAACCAAGCCAGCTTCATTCAATAGCTACGATGGGAAAAGGTCAAACATTTAATAATGGGGGGAGGAGAATCACAAGAACTTGTAACTAGGGAGCAACCCTAGTGTTCAGTATTTCAATGCCCTCCATGACCCAGGGGAGAGAGGTGGTTTGCAGGAGAGCCCCACTAAACACCTAAGAGGGAGGGGTGCCCGGCCCTGGGCACAATACTGATGCGGCAGGTTGCTGCAGGTGGGGGCCCGCTGGCCTCACCTAAGCACGGAGAAAGGGACTTCTCGGAGTCGGAGCTTCCTGCTTGCTGGCGGTGCCGATTCCGGTGCGGGAACTTCTACGTATTGCTCCTTTCCTTTGATTTTTCTCTTGCACTGCCCTAGCGGGGAAGATGCAAGCCACAGGGTTAGTGCGCTCCTCACACCATTCACAAGCTCTCTGCATAGGGTTACTTCTATCGCCTAGGTGGGCCAAACAGTCCCCACACCAGGGCACTAGAAAGCAGCCACCGTCCTCCCACCGCCCTTTGTCTCGGCTGCGCCACCAGATTCAACCTCCAGGATCTCGCTCCAAAGCAAACTTTGTCTGCAGAGTGGTGAAGTGAAATAGGCCAGTGAGGAGTTGGGGCCCGAGATTTCCCCACGGTTACTGGTTAACGCCAGGCAGCTCGGAAGCACCTTTTATCAGAGGACCTCAAAGCACTGTACAAAGGTGCACATTCTTCCCATTTTATGGATGGGAAAAACTAAGGCCCAAGGTCACACAGTGAGTTAGTGGCAGAGCCAGGAATCGATCCCGGGGGTCTTGACTCCCAGCCCTCTGCTCTAGCGCATGCTGCCTCTCCTCCTGACGCAGGGAAAGTGACCCTGCGGTTCTGGGCACGCTGTGACAGAAGCTCACTAAACTCTTACGGTGCACTGGACACCAACCCACACACAAGTGCGTAGCACTGGAGAGGGGAAATGGTACTCAGCAGAGAATTGAGTCTCATCATCTCTGTACAGACTTTCAACCTGCCCCTTACGCCTCTACACGGTCTAGGCGTCAGCATTTATTTTTCTCGAGAAATCACAATTTCCTAAGTCAGAACTGGATTTTGTAAGTATTTTTTTCTCTAAACAAAAAGGAAACCAAGAGACAACTTGGGACTTACTTTGTACGTGGGTTTAGATTTAAAGTATTTAGAAACTCAAATTAACTGGAGCCCTGCTTACAACCTGCAACGAGAAGCTGGAGTTTGGGACACGTCAAAAAGTTAGACAGTTGAAGATTTTCTTGAAAACAACACATTTCTTGAGAGAGGAGAGGGAGGGGGGGAGAGAGAGACATCGCAGGCCACTGGGAAAACGGCTCCTACATGGTCTCCCACAGCAGCACACGACAGAGGGGTCAGTACCTCGGGAGGTGGTGGCTTGATAGTCACGGGCTGGGATGTTCTTCGTGGTGGTGAAGGTTTCGGCTGTACTTGCTGCTGGACAGTGTTGTAGTAGGTGACCCCTCCGTACACCTGGGCCTGGGCCTGCATCCCCCAAAGAAGGGAAAGGGTTAGTTCTTCCTGACACGGGATGCGAAGCTGCAGCTGCCCAGGTGTTGGCAGGGTTCGGCCTGGCTTTCTTTAGAGTGTAAAACAGCTTTCAAAACCAAGTCCTCTAAAGGCAGAGGGGAGCAGAGCGGCCCCCGGAGCAAAGCCGGTTAGGGCTCACGTTGCGCTGCGGAATGCCAAGCTTTGTCTGCAAATACCTGAAAAAGGAGTTTGCAATGGAGTGGGCTCCTCTAGCTGTCAGCTTGCCCAGACTGCCCGGGATCACTGGCAGAGGCCCTGCTGCCAGGGTTAGTTGTCTGACTGGGTCAGTCTACACCTAAGCTGGTTAGATTCCTAGGTGGTAAGGTCAGATGAGGTCATTATGCCCTGCATGGTTTTTGCGTAGACCATATAAAGTTCCCACTTTAAATTAGCAACTGGTCTGTGCTCAAGGTGGCTGATCATTCCCCATCATACCCAGATCATGTCCAGGAGTCCTGTGCTCACTCCAGATCAATCTTTCTCTCTTCAGCTAGACCAGCAGAGAAGGGAAAGGTCAAAACTGTTTAGGCTGGGTTAAGAAACTGCACCTCTTTTGTCTTGCCACTGAGTGTCACCCTTGTGCCATTTGCAAGACAGCCTCAATGATGGGAGGTTGTGACCTGCCACAACAAAGTGGCCTTTGGGCTCACACACTGCTGAGATCACAAACACCAGACAGTGCCCAGCCTGCTGTCTTGGTTTGACAAACAAAAGGAAGTTGGCTCTAAAGAGAATCCAGTCATTCTCTGTGCTTGGCTTAGCTTGGACCGTGAACAGACCCAGCCAGTTAATGTGCTTCTAGGCAGCTTCACTTTCCTAGTTCTCTTGCCTGGTAGAGAATTTAAATTCTTGGCCCAAACAATACCACCACATGCCATCAGGGAGCTTATAACTACAATTCAAATTCCAGTCCCAGTGTGGGAGAACCAGGGAGGTCAGATCAGGCTCCTTCTGTTCCCCAAATTGAGTAGGAAGCGAGATGCTTTCCTCATTCATGCTCTTTACTAAGATTTAACCTTAAAGTCTGTTTAATAACCTAGTGCGTTGCCTCCTCTCGGGAGCAATCCCACACGGCAGGGAGACCAGCTGCTACCCCAGGCCATCTCAAAGGCCATACAACATATGGACCCATCCAGGATAGGGTCCCATCACTCCATGCTTAAAGAACTCCTGCTCAAGACAACCGAAGCGTGCTTTAGCCAGCTCACCTGTGTGTTGGGATACAGATGGGGAGGAGGTGGTGGTGGGAGTGCTCCTGGGGGATAGGGGTAGCTGGGATTCCCAAAATTCATGACTCCGGGAGGGGAGAAATAGGTGGGTGCGAGCAGCTGCTGTGGGGGCGGCTGCCCAGGAGGCATGGAGACTGGTGGAGGATATAAGCCAGGGTTAGCCAAAGGTGCCGGTGTCTGGTGTGGATGTAAACCTAGGAAGCGAAACAAAATAAATCCATATGTAACGTCACCTCTGAAACCAACGCATCCTCGGAAAAGGCTGGGATTGTTCGGTTGCCAAAGTAAATTAGCGTCTCTGGGTTAGCCTGGCTCTGACCTTCACTATCTTAATGAGCAGGGTTTATAGAACAAGAGCACTTTGCGAAAGACTTCTTGGCATGCGATCACGACAGACTAACTCCTGCTCTGTTTACGACAGGAAAGTTCACACACAAATAGTAGCAGGCTGACAGTGGCCTCCAGTTTTCCAAGAAAGTGGTGAGTCTCCCAACATGTGGATCATGTTAAAACGGACTTGACAGTGTACCAGTAAGTTACTTACTATGGGGGAACAACCCCACATTAGCCTGTGGGGCAAGTCTAAGAGACCTGCTGCCTCCCTGATTTCTGGGATCCTTCATATCTAATTGCTGCTGGGTCAGAGAAGCTGCCAAGCATTTCCATCCAGGAGGAGGGGGGCGGGCTGCTTCAAGCTTTCCATTAAAACGGGGACGTGACTTAGCCAACTATTCTGCACAAAACCAGCAGTGTTCTACCCAGAAGTTTCCAAGACACCCTCAAGTGGGCTTGGACCTGCACTGGGCATAAGCAAAGGAGATGCAGCAGTTAGCAAAACATATTTACATGGACATATATGCCATTTAACAAAGATCACGTCACTTATTCATGGCAGCACCATGGGAAGGAGCAAGATTTACTTACAATGCCTAAGAAATGGATACACGCCTTTGTTGACCTTCATCTCAATGTTCAGAGATGCTGCCGTAAATGGCTATGAAACTGAAGGGCCTTCGATTTTAGACTTAAACAGATCAGCAACATTTCACATAGCGCTTTCCATTTTCAAAATGCAACGCAGATGCCCACTGGTTTAGCCACAAGCTGGTACGTGAGTATGCCTCATTTTACAGATAGGGAAACAGAAGTTAAATGCCTGGCCCAGGCCAGAGGGAATCTACATCAGAGCTGGATTACAACACAGGAGAGTCCTTGATTCCCAGGCCTGTGCTCAGACAGAACTTCCTCAAATGCAAGGTTAACAAGTTTGCTTGTGAGGGCAGGGAGGTGGGAGACGGTGGCTCACCTGGATGTGGGAGATGCATTTCTGGCTGTACAATCATACCCTGGGGGGGCAACGGGGCAGGATTCTCGCTGTGTGTGTAGATTGGTCCCTGGAATTGTACTGCAAGAGAAAACGGTTTGCGAGGAAACAAAAGTTATTTAGCTTATTCTGCTGTAACGAGAGTCACGTTGATTACAGGAGTCAAAGAGAGCCACAGCATTTGAGCACTGTTGTGTTAGAAACACTGCCAACTGCATGTGCCACCCAGCAATGGGATCACATGCCCAACAGGATTCCAACCGAGGGAGAGCAACCAGCTATCTCCTACCTCGAATGGAACACACCCCACTTACGTAGTTTCCTCCTTTAATGACTGATTTTCAACATCTCATTTACTCCCCAATCTCTCCCTCAAAAAATGGGAATGAAACAATTATTTCTACCAAGTTTAAATTTCCACTTCTCCCGATCTAAAACAACGTCTGAGTTTCCAAAGCTGCAGACGATCACACAATGATGAAGGCAGTGTCGGTAGGCGCTTTACAAAACAGGGCAGGGATTAAATCCAGAAAACTCGGTTGTCATGGACATTTTCATATTAAGCTTTGACATTTTAACCAGGTCTGTATTGGATCTAGAACTAGTTGACCATGTCCCGTTCAAGAGGAAGGATCTCTTCGGGTACTCATGAAAAGCTCCCAATAATTAACTTGGTTTTATGTCTGCACCAAAACACCACATATCCCTTCCCACTGATGGAGCAGCTTCTTAAGTAGCTGGGAACCCCACCCATATCCCGCACTGAAAGCTCATTTCTGAGTGTGCTAAAGAATTGAGAGAAGAGGAACTAGAGCTGCAGGGGTCACTCACGTGGATCATAATAGTGCCCTTCCATGATGCTGATGTGCATGGGGGGAGCAGGCTCTGGAACTGGTGGCCGCTGACGCTGGGATGAGTAACGCTTTGCACGGCCCCCCTGTACTCCCTGAAAGAGTTCAAAGGCATCTGTGAGCTACCGAGTTACAAAGAGGAATTCATCCAGGCTCTAACCAGCGTTACCCACCCAACCTACCTGGAAACCTACATTCGGCTTAAAAAAACAAAATGACAAATGCTTCTACCCAAGGAAAGGAGAAATGATGGTGTGCCACAGCCAGGTTCAAACCATTACAGCACCGAACCAAATCAACACTTTGACTTAAAATTACTAAAAAGAAAAGTTACACTCCATACAAGATTCCCTGCTTTACCATTTCCTCCATCCTGTTAAACTGAGGTGGTGGTCCAGCTCCCATGTGCATATGATTAGGAATACCTAGGAAAAGAGACACGCTGGTTATTAAGTCTTACACTCGTCTTTAATAATACGCAATCTTATGCGTCAGAGGCGTCGCTAGAAGTCATCTGCCCACTTATATGAAATGCAGTACAGAAAATGTCACTGTTTTAGAGGAGTTACTGCAGTGTGAATGCCAACATATGCCTTACAAATTTCAGTGAAAATGTATATATCATAAGGAGCTTTGATGATGAAATAAGTATTAGAGAAGTTAAGGTTTTATGCATTTCAGTACTGAGTACAAAGGGACTCCAACAATTATTTTATCCTTGTGTGATTGGCTCTGCGGCTGTGGGCAGTGACCTAGGGGTTTTTTACCTTCCTCTGCAGCATGCAGGTCACTTGCCAGGATTATCTGAGTCTCTCTCATTTCCCAGTCCCTATTCTCTGTCTATGGCACATAAGAATCTAGTCTCCTGAGGGTTGGGATATTTCGATCTCATGTCGTTGGCTGGGGTTAGCGTGTGGCTGCGGTGAGGTGGGTGGCCTGTGACAGGAGGTCAGACTAGAAGATTGGGAGGTCCCTTCTGGCCTTGAACTCTGACTACATGTAAAATCTCAATCTCAGTGTCATAGGGTAAACCTGCCCCCCCAGCCCCTCCCCTCGAGTGCCCTCATGCGGCAGGCCACGCCACAAGTGCACTTGCCTCAGTTTCTCCCCTCAAGTAACCCAAGGACTCCACTTCAGCCTCTCTTGCTTCAATAAGGCCCTTCCTTGGAGCCGGTTTATTATGAAAACCATAGTGTAAATTACCCAAATCCCAAGTCCCAATAGTCCATTTATCACCCCACTGCAAGCAGTCCTTAAAATCACATATCCTCTCAGCCATTCCACAACACATTCCAGCATCTTCCTCCACCCCCGGACTCCGTTGTCAGTCCTCCTCTGTCCCTCTGCCAGGACAGCCACCCCTGCTCCTCCCAGCAGGAACCCCAACTGCCTCTCTGCTGGAGATCAGCCTCGCCAAGGGACCATCCCTCACGCCCTCAGCCCCTCTGCTGTCAGCCCTCGGCTTCAGCTCTCTGGCTTAGACATTCATACGCTGGTCTAACTTTCCTGGGTAGACAAGCCAGGAGTGCCCTTGCTTCAATCCTGCCAGATTCCACTCCAGGCAGCAGGAGAAACTGTCTAGCACCCAAGCTCAATGCATAAGAACGGAGGATTTGCCATTCCCAATCAGACCATTGGTCCATTTAGTCTGGCAGTAGCCAAACCCGGCTACACGTAGCTAATTACGGAGTGTTGTACACAAAAGGAGGAAAATTCCTTCTGTTTGTCCCAGATGCACCGAGTATCCCCTTGTTCTAACAACATGAGACATGGCAAGAGAGGGAATGATCCGTTCTTATCATACTCTCCCCAGCCCTAAATTACTCCACTTATTTCCTGTTACTAATTCCAGGCTAAATAACCCTCATTTTGGAGGGTTGGGTTGGGAATCTCTTGCCATTACATGAGTCCTGACCAGCTCTCTCCAAACACTTTTTTGGGACCATTTCAATCTCCACTCCTATCGACGGGGAGGCAGCTAATATTGGAACATAGTACTCCCAAGGAGAGTGTCATTATTGCTCAACATTCCACACGCTGTTTGCTTAATCCACTCAACCATCCCATTGCTAACAGCTGCTTTGTACTGGGCAGATGTCCTAAAGGACCCGTAAGTCTTTCCCTAGTTCCTCTCAAAAGATGCTGCACATTCAGAGCCCTTCAGCCCTTACAAGAAGTTTACATTTGTGTTTACATGCATTAATTTCCCCCATCATGTCATCCAGTCCGTCCTTCAGTCAATGTGCAGTTTCACAATCCTTCTGTTATTAAACCAAGCAATTAAGCTATCCCTCAAGCTCTGATTAACTGTCAGACCTTTATTGCCACAGCAGCCGTGCTGCATTCAGTGGGGAAAACCAATGAAAACCCAATGGCCCGTGGCACTTACCCCGAAGTTCCCGAGGCTGTATGAACGGAGGCTGTCCTTGGGTCCAGGTCTGCTCGGTTAGATTCAACTGAGTCATGTCTTGTTCGAGTCCATCCATGCTGGATTCTACTGGTGTCTCCCAACTACCGGCCTTTGCAGGAGGAGGGGGCGTTACTACCGGCACTGGTTTCGGAGGCACGGGCGTCAATCCTTCTGGAGGCGGGACTTCATCTGCCAGCTTTCCTGCATCGCCAACTTTATTCCTGGTCCTCCTTGCCCGGGAGTAGGATTTCTTTTCGATGGGTCTATCTGGTGGTGGCTGTACAGAGTCTGTACTTGGGGTCTGGCTTTCCAAAATGATCTCTTCCTTCTTGACAGGGCTGCTGTGAACATGCGCAATCTCAGCTTCAGGAGAGGGGTCTCTCTCCGGGGCTTGTTCAACACGCCTTGCCCGGTAACTGCTTTCGTGTTTAGCCTGCTCCCCTGTTCGAGAGAGGTGCTGGCTGTTTGCTTCCACAGCTCGGTAGCTTGGACGGTTCTCTTTGTAGCCACCCATCCTTGGAAAGTTCCTGGCTGGGGGCATCCTACCCATGCCCGTGGAGTTCCGGCTGATGAAGGTTCGTGTCGGCAGCGGATCGCTATCAGAGCCCTGGGGTCTTGGTGGCTTGTTTTGCCTCTCGTTGGCCCAGTTCGGCTCTCGCTGCGGAGGGCTCCCAAACCTTAAGGGGAGGAACGCAAAGGATCAGAAACAAACCCCTGAATTGCACCACTGGGAGGTATTTATGAGCACCAGAGCTGCAATGACCCCTTAAGATCCTTTCCCAAAGACAACACACCTGTTCTACCTGCCCATCCTGGAGCTGGCTTCCTCCAGAGCCTGATGCTTCCACTCCTTAGTAATAAGAGAATCCCCACAACGCCAAGGCATCCCTCTCCCCATGGTGCTCCCAGACGCCCGGATACCCAGGAGCCTGAGCCTCAATCTGACATGGATGCAGCAGAACATCATGCCCCCATCAGTTCTTTGCCCATCCCCCGCCTTCAAGTCCTTCCCAGTTTGATGCTCAACATCTCGGTGGTTGCAAGAAGGCTGATCTTTCTCCTCAGTACACGAGGGGCCTTCTGACTGGACTCCCTAAGGCCTTGGCTACTCACCGTGGTTTGCGCATCCTCCTCGGCTTGATGTCGTCGGGATTGTGAGCCGACCGGATGTCATAGCCGTAGAGCGCAATCAGCTCCTGCCTGCTTTTGGGGGCTTGCTCATCTTCCCGGAATTTGTCATGTTCCCAGCGGCCCTCATCTTTCCAAAGCTTTCGCTGGCGCCCCTTCGGCCTGGAGCAGGAACACGGAGAGACCCAACAGGTCTTTGCAAAGCCAAGGATACGTGGGTGGAATGGGCATGGACGGGCCAGACAGTACAAAAGGCAAACGAAGGCTGCTTATTTCTAGGAAGGGGTGTGCCTGGGAGGCTGTGGAACATCTCCCCTTCCCCAACTCCATTCCCAGACTTTCAGGGCTCAGAGAGTCACTGCCCTGCCAGCTCGGGGAGGGAGAGAGGGTTTTCTTGGGAACACGCCACTAGCACTCCTTTGCGACCCCAGCAAAAGGGTCGCAGTTCAGCTGCAGGAGGCTCAGCTCAGGCTTCTGTAGCATTACCCGTCTCTGCTGCCTTAGGAGCATGTGGAACCAAAGCCAGTCCTGGCAGAACACTACCACTAGGCAACTGGGCCACCACATGGCCACGTCTCACAAGTCTTAGAAAATCTCCCAGTCTGCCAAGTATTTAACACGGAAGCCAAGAGCTGGGATGTTTTAGGTGCTGGCTCAGGACTCAACTTCTCTTTACCCAGGGAAGTTTCATGAGTTTTACCTACCTGACTTCCTCCTCCTGGGCCTGTCCTCGGAGATCATGTTCAAAGAAGAGCCCTTTGCGGGGTATGTACGCAGGGTTCTTCCGATCCTCGTCGTCATCCAAGTGCTTGGGGACCTTTTTCCCAACTTTATTCTCAGCCGGTTCAGTGCTCTCCTATCAAAATCAGAGAATCATTACACTGCAGCAGCCCTTCTACGGACAGCCAGCCTCAACCCCAGGGACCCCACAGCACACATTAGATATCTACCTGCCCATCCCCGCTTTGTCTCTCGCCAGTCACAGCACCTTTCGGGTCAGGTTTCTCTTCCCCTTTCTCTGCTTTTCCTGTGGATTCACTGGCATTGTTACTCTCCTGCTTCAGTTCCACCTTTGAGCTTTCCTCCTCGCTGTACTCCCCTTCCTCGGCCTGAAAACAAACACCCAATCGCTGAGACAAGGTGACATGTGATGTTAGCGGCAGATTCCCCAGGGAGTTACAGCCGATGTGCCTAGATCTCCACAGCTCCGGACAGCCCCCTATCCAGTACCTCTTTCCGGTGCTAAAGAGGGCCAACCGTTTAACACAGAGGAAGGGAAGACCAGACTGATTCCTTTCTCCACAAATACCACAGAGCAATCCTAGGCCACCAACAGTCACAGATTCTAGAAGAATTCAGAGCAAATGTCGAAGAAAATCACAGTACAACCAGAGCCTCTGATCTCTACACCGCGGAGCCATTTGTACAGCATCGTCAGAGACGCTACCAAGGGGGGTAGCTCATGCCATCAGGCTCTGCTGCTCACATGACTACCTCTCCTTTCCCCCACTGAAGGGCTGGCCCCAGCCACCGCTGGATTTCTGAACTCCCTGGAACTGCGTGGTTGGCTGACTCCAAGCACTCTGCTAGCAAGAGTCTGACGTCGTTTCACCCTCCGGGAGACTGCAAGCCTTGCTCTGACTGGAATCGACACTAAAAATAGTATTGAACGATTAACAAGACGACTGCTCTAGTTTCTCTTTCCATACTGCGTGTTCACATGTCAACTGCTGCTCCTTTTATTTATGTTTGGAAACAGAGAGTTTGCATTATATTTAGGTACAGTGGAAGAAGAGAGCTGTACTTAACTCACACAGCAGGGCCAGTACATTAAAGTGGTGGGGGTTAGTTCAGTTGCTCTGGAGCTATGGTTATTGGGGCCCTAGAGACCCAATATCTATATTTTCCAGAGATTTAGCTGCAGTTTGAATGCAGGCCCCTGCAGATAAAGTATTCTCTTGAGAAGTCGGAAAGGGCACACTATGGAACTCATGATTTCAGAGCCCACTTCCCCGTCCACATTCTGACCTGGCTTTGGAGCCTGCAGCAGCCCCCGAACATTCACTGAAGGGAATGATACACGGAAGCAACGGCATGCCCAGCTAGGTACTTTAAGCAAGCCTCCTCCCCGCCCCTTTCTCTGCCCTCCCCCATCTCCCCCACTGCTCAATTTGAGAAAGGTTTCACTGAGCTATGCAGCACCCCATACACCTCAGGGGAGACGTGTTTGGACACTAGAACTGCCATGGTTACATCACAGCTGGCAGGTGGTCATGGCCACTACCAAACTTCCCAAAACACCCTTCAACCTCCTAGTTCTATTGTCAGACACTAAGTGTCCACAGAGCACTAGGCCAGTTTGCGATCAGGGCTGCCTTACTGAACAAATCGGCTGTCCTCAGTGACACAAACAGAAGGAATTACTGACTAGAAATCAAAGAGAAACTGCTGAACTTCAGTTCATTAGCAAATTTGACACCATCAGCTCAGGATTAAACAAAGACCATGAATGGCTAGCCAACTACAAAAGCAGTTTCTCCTCCCTTGGTGTTCACACCTCAACTGCTAGAAGAGGGCCTCACCCTCCCTGATTGAACTAACCTTGTTATCTCCAGACTGATTCTTGCCTGCATATTTATACCTGCCTCTGGAAATTTCCATTACATGTGTCTGACGAAGTGGGTATTCGAAAGCTTATGCTCCAATACATCTGTTAGTCTATAAGGTGCCACAGGACTCTGTTGCTTTTGAGAAGAAATGTTCTCTTTTGTGATATGTGAATGGTCAGGCCACATTACTGGACGCAGCTCAGCATCTGTATGACTTTCAGCCAAAGAATATTTTCAAGTTCAATATTTATGTCTGAGTTACAGCTAATCAAGACATAGCAAGACCTCTAATCCCCCTTCCCTTTACCTCCTGCTGCCATTTTCAAGTCTGTCTCCTGATCTGCACCATTTGCTTCCACAGAGGAGCCAGACCTCAATTTTAAGTCTCCTAGTATTGCTTGTTGGCAGGGCAGCTCTTGGAATACAGACCCGGTCAGTTTAAGGCAGGCTAGACAAAATGCTAGATTCCCAGATTCCAGGGCTAGAAGGGACCATTGTGACCTGAACGCCTGGACAGCAATGGTCAGAGACCTGCCCCCAAATAATTCCTCGAGCAGAGTGTTTAGAAAAACACCCCATCTGGATTTAAAAATCGCCAGTGCTGACCACCATTGCCCTTGGTATCCTGTTCCAAGTTAATATACTACAGTACTGCACTGGCCAGAGGGACAAACTTGATATCGCTCAGTGGGATTTTCCATTTCTAACTTTGACAATTTATGCAACACAGCCAGTCTCAAGTACCCACACAGGCTGGATGCAAAGCCTTGCCTGTCATCCCATTTCTTGAGACAAAGGGAAACTCTCCAGCCAGGGTCAGTAGGACCCAGCAAGGAATATGAGCTGGTTTCTGTGCTGAGATGATGCAAGAAAAAGAAGCTCTGAAGACTATTCTAGGTGTCAGTATAAAGAATACACTCACCTCGGAGTCTTCTGCACTTTCGTAATCCGACAGAACAGCTAGAGAAGAGAAAGCAGAAGTTTGGCATAAATGCTGCAATAGTGGCGCTTTCTCTAAACATGAATTCGTTTTGAACTGTAACACTTAGAGCATCATTCATCAACAGTCCAGTGTACAGACACACACAGTATTCAAACCACAGACGTGCTCAGCATTAATATTAAACTGGTCCTCAATTTCCCAGCTGAATAGCATAACCAGTGCTGGACTAATGCTCCATCTAGCCCAGCGCTACATGCCTCAGAGGAAACAAACAGAACAGGCTCTCAGACTGTAGCAGGGGAAGCAGACAGACAACTGGCCTTTCCAAGTGGCCTCAGAATATGCATTTTTAATAGATAATGAATTCTATGCTTTCATCTCTCACTTCTCCCTCCCAGCAGGACAGACCAAAGATACTTATTACTCACCATCTCCTTCGATGCCATCTTCACTTTCCTATTGCGAGAGAGAGAAACACACAGACATATTATTGGGTATGTAGTGACCAGGAACATTTCAGTCACTTGCCTATCAGGTTGACCCCACAAAACATCTAGACAAGTGCCGGGGAGATGCCTGTGGCCGTGACACATACGGGGATCAATGATAAAGGGAGACATAGGAGAGCCATCCTGGAAGCTAAATTTTAGAACACTCAAGGAGAACACACATAGATCCAGGAATTTGTACAATAGCTTTCCTGAAAATGCATCCAGTTCCATGCATAGGGCCAACCAGACTGGGGGAATGCATGAAGAGGTGGGGTTAACAGTGTATTAAGTCACTATGGATCTTTTGGGGAAGAGGCAGCCTACACAGAAATAATGGGCTCCCTTCATAAAACTGGAACCAGACTGCTGGCTCAGAAGGTTACTGGGGGATTATTTAGAAGCTTTCCCCCACCCTACATGGGCTGAGGAGCACTCAACTCAGACACACATCTGCTACAGATGTCAGAAATATAAATGTTACTCTGTACCCAGTAAAGAATAGGGCGGAAGTTAAGACTGAACTGGAAGAGGAGATCAGATCACAGCGGTAAATTCCAGAAACGTAGCAGAGTATCAGACTAAGGAATTTAATAAAATAGGCTCATGATCAAAAATAAAAAACTGTCTATATATTAATGAGAAGCCTAAAAGCAAAAACAGGTGAACGGCGAACATGTCTGAAAACAGAATAGGAATGTGGCATAATAGGTCTGATGGAATGACAAGATACTAGAATACATGGCTATAAATTGCATAGGAAGAACAATTAGATTGGACAGGTGGGCAGAGCAATATCCTAAGAGTGTGCATAAAAATCTACTGAAAAAGAAGAAGACCAGAACAAATACAACCCCCAAGAGTTATCCTACTGGCCTCCTGATGAGGAAAAGACAATGACAAACACAAACAAGAAATTCTGTAATTCTCATAATTCTGTATGTCAAACATGAAACCAGAGAGAGAATTGTTCGGTTCACCGAAGGCGTATAGCCAAGGCAGAAAGAATGTTTTCAGCGGAGATGTATACAGTCACTGTATACACAGTGGCATCCGTATGGCTGACAAGCTACGAAAACACAAGCTTAAATTTTAACACAATTTCCCTCAACACCATTTTACCTGACTGATCCATTTCAAGAGTCCTGATTGTTTTACGTTTCTCTGAAGTCTTACTTGGGGTCAAGCAATACATTTATCAGCTGACCTGCCGTCTTGATGATCACATTAAGCTTTGCTAACTAGCTGTAAAATTTCACGAGAAAGGGTTGTGGACCAACCAGATAGCATTATTAATCTAAAAGTCGAGTCCCAGACCACATGCACTAAATCACCTGAGCAACAGAGTCTGTACAATCTTTATTGCTACAGTGGAAAGAGAAATGAGGAAAGACCCAGTCCTGGAATGAAAAAGGATCATTGATACGTAATGTTTCATGTCAATCCAATAGTATTTCCAGTGCTACTCTAATGTAGGAAGATGTGAAAGGAGGATCACTCTGTCTACTAGTCTGTCCCTTAATTGTTACATTGCCTGTTTGGCTCAAGGGTTTCAGGCATTTCTGTAGCATGTGCATGCGGGAAGGACAGCAGGGGGGGCGTGTTGGTAATAAGATCTTTGGGAAAAGTTAAGTCTTACAGTGCTGCAAAGATCAGTTTGATAAGGGGCAGGGTTAGGAGATGGAATTCAGGGTTTCTAATCAATTCCTCTCTAAATACTTCAGCCCTAGTATTCTGAATGAGGGAAATTTAGCAAGATTTTTAGGATGCTGGGCCCATCCATAGATGGTGTCTATCCACACATTTCTTGTTCCGGATGATTACTTTACACTGAAAATGGAAGGTATTAAAAAAAAAAAAACCACCCACAGTTGACAAGGATACTGTCAAGTTCAGTAACACTTTAAAAACAAAGCTGTCTTCCCCATGGCACTACCACCATCTCGGATGATCAGAAACAACAAAACAAAGACGTCTACCCTTCCTCGACAGCAAAGAGTTTAACTTCAGCACCATGAGTTTCTCTTTCAGGGTCAAGCCACATTGGTGTTACGTTTAGGCTGCAAATGCCCCAGGTGGTATTTAACACCCTTCCCTCGAACTGCCTTCGGTTTTAAGAAAAGGGCCAGGAGGCAGGCTACCCGCTCACACCTCTTGCTTGCCCCAGGCACCTCCCTTTACGGACCTGCCCTGTGGGGCTGTCAGCCCGATGTGCGTTACACAAGCAAGCCCCCGCCTGCCCCCCGAACTAAGCGGGAGAGGACACTGGCTGCTCCCCACCCCCACCCCAGCCTCCACAAACCAAAGGAAGAGACCTGGCCCCAGCCCGGATGTGCAAAACCCTGAAAATGGGGAAACAAGCCCATGGGACGGACGGACGGGGGGGGGGGTATTGCAGATCCCCACACCGCCCAGCCTCCTTCCTCTCTGGGGGCGCAGGCTCACAGTCCGGGGAGGTGCCAGCCGCCCCCCAAGTGCTGAACGGGCCGGTCCCCTCCAGACAGCCCCGGCTCGTTTAGAGCCCCACAGCCCGCCCCGGCCTCGCTCACATTCTTGGGGTCCCGGCTCCCCCCGGCCAGGCCTCCCCCCAGCCCCGTCCTGACTGGCCCCGGGCCCCCACTCGCCCCGTCCTGACTGGCCCCGTCCTGACTCGCCCCGGGCCCCCACTCGCCCCGTCCTGACTCGCCCCGGGCCCCCACTCGCCCCGTCCTGACTGGCCCCGGGCCCCCCACTCGCCCCGGCCCCAGCCCCGTCCTGACTCGCCTCGGGCCCCCCCGCCTCACTCACACACTCGGACTCCTGCGGGCTCTTGGCGGCCCCGGCCGCGCTCTCGGGCCCGCGAACCCGGCCCCCGGCGGGCAGGGTCCCGGCGACGCTCCGGGCCGGTCGCGGGGGCGAGGCCGGGGAGCCGGAGCGGACCGGGCCGGCCGGGGAATCGACGCTGTCGGAGGCGGCCGAGTCGGACTCGTCCTCGCTGTCCTGGGAGGCCCGCTGCCGCCGCCTGTCCGCCATCTTGGAGGGTCTGGGGGAGGGGGGGGGGGGAGGGCGCGCGGAGACCGACGGGACGGCGAGCGGACTACAGCTCCCAGGATGCACCGCGGGGCCACCCGCTTCCGGGCGCCCCCTGGAGGGATCAAAATTCTATTTCCGGGAAGCCCGCTCCGCTGCTCCCAGAATGCTTTGCAAGAGTACCTGCCCCGCCCGCAAGGAGTTGCTGAGCTTGGGGCGGTCCCATCCCCGCCTTGCGGAGCGGGGCTATGACGTCATATTATCACAACACGTTGACGTCATGCTGGTGTGACATCACTGCCGCTTCCCTCTGCAGGCCCTATTGCAGGGCAAAGAGCCCCACTGCTCCCCCCCCCCACCGATTGGCCCTGGTGCAGGGGAGCAGGGGCTGGGCTGGGGGGCCCCTCTGGCATTGGACCCACGTCTCTGGGGGGAAGGGACAAGTGTCAGATGCAGGGGCTGGGAACCAGCCTGCTAAATACACGGGGGGGGGGGGCAGACTGTTAAGGGGCTCACACGTGCTGCAGGAGACCACGCCAAGCGAAGTGGGCGACGGAGGGTTAGCCGGGCGTGTTATTTACACAGGTTTCATTATGCTCATTTTACAGATGGGGACACTGACAACACACACACACACCCCTTCCTGCAGGATGCTGTACAACCACGCATGCACCTATGTTTTTCCACTGGTAGCTCCATTTCATACTCCTTACGTTGTCCCACATTAAATTTTCCAGCAAGGAAAGCGAGGGAGGCCTGCCTTAGTGTCAAATGCTGGTATCTTTGGCCCCATTCCTCATAGGTAGTTAGGAGCCTAAACTCAGTAGGAGTTCAAAAGTATTTAGGTACTTACTGAAATGAGAGGGAGCTGGACTCCCAACTATCCTTGAGTATCTGGGCCTTTGGGACTAAGTGGGGGGCAGTAGGGAATTAGTCATTCGCGGTGTACAGAGAAAGAAACGGAGACACAGAGAGGTGAGGTGAGTGGCACCCACAATGATAAAGTGTGTCACTTGCCTTTACTGGAAACAGACAACACAGGCACGTTGACCACACATTCCCTGCGCCGTTATCTACCTAACGCACTTGTTCACCTTCTGTAAAGTGAGGTGATTCTCCACATATTCCACAATAGGTTCATCTCTCTCTTCCAGCATTTGGTATTCTAGCACTTGAGGTACACCCCCTGCTCAGCTGTTATCTATGAACAGCAGCGACTGTCTTTGCCTTTTCATCCGCCCACTTGCTTAAAGATTTGTAAAGAGAACAACAAAAAATGAATCGGGAGCAAGCGCCTGTGTGTGAATCTCTGGAATTATTGTTCCCTACAGAATTTATTAAACTAGCGTTTGGCAACAGGCCAGTCAGCACTCCCCACGCACTGACCCAGACCAAGGGGCAATCTGCATTGCAGTTTTTAAAGAGCCAAAGCAGGTTCTGGCAGAAGCCTTTCAGAGCAAATTGGAGTCAGAATACAAACAGTCTCGGGATTTTTTTCATACATTTGAACAGTGGGTTCCACATATTTGGCTATGGAATTGAGGGCTAACGGGTTAGGACTTCAACCTTTCAGATGAAAGATCCTTAATGTAGTTTCTACCACCGCCAAAAGAGAGAAAGACAAGGCCTCAAGGATAGACGGTTCTTCCAATCCATAGTTCTAAGCCAGCTTCGGCAGCAGCTGACATTTCTAAAACTGGTAACCTCATTTCCATGGGAGGCACCAAGCATGCAAGAGAGGCAATTTTTAATTAGGTCTGAGAAATTTTCCAAACAAGACATGTATAAGGGTTTGAGACAAAAGTGACCACAAAAACGTACATTTTTTTTTCTATTTTATTGTAAAAAAAAAAAATTTTTTGATTTGTTTAAATTTTTAAACATACAGGCAGAATTGTTTAATACTCCCCATTAACACTGTTAATTCTAACAAACTGAAGCAGAAATTCAAAAAATTAACAGCCACAATAGTTTTTATTTACAACAGAACTTTTTTTTGTATAAGATATTTACAAGACGACCGATTTTACACATTAGAAATGGTATCAAAAGTATGCATTACAGACAACTATGTGTCAAATGGCCATAAAACAAGGCTGAAGAATACAGACAAGCTTTAATTTTTTTTTAAGATTTTATTTTTACACTAGCTTAAACTTGGTTAAAGAAAGCAAGGTTTGAAACCAAAGAACGGTTCTAATAGGGAATTGCAGGGCTTTCCATTGCAGATTGAATTTCACAGTGTTGTACCCCATATTGGGAGAAATAAGACTATTTTTCCACACTAACACTCACTGAAAATTTAACTTTGTACTTCTCTTCTCCCGGCCGGCCACCCACCCACCCCCGTCTGTAGCTGATGACTGCTGGATAGATGTCTATTAAAGAGGATCGTTTATAAAACCTGTCTGCCTTTCTGGATGGCAGCATGAAGAAGAGTTTAAGAACCGGCTTTGCAGTGGGAGCTAGGGCAGTCTGAGGTCAGGCAGCTACCAGCAGATACCTCTCAGAGCTGGCTGTCACTGGGACTCAAAAGTGTTCTGCCCCCTGAAAAGCCACTAATGCAGGGTATAACCAGAATGCAAAACCCGCTCGATGCAGACCTGAAAGAGACAACATCAAGGAAAGAAACAAGGCTCAAGCTAATATTTGCCCATTTAACATTTTGGCTCCTAATTGCACAGAAATCCATTAAGGACACACGCTATCATGCGAAAGCAGGACACCCAAGAACAGCCTTATTTAAAAAAAATTTTTTTGCAGTGCATAGCCCTAATTATGCAGTTTATGTGGTACCAGGGCCCATGCTTCTAGAGATTTCCCCCTTTTATGTGGGTTTCAGACCCTCTTCCAAACACCATTATTGTAGGAACCCTAGCATAACCCACTGCTGTGTCGCGAGAATCAGCCTCTCTTCCAAATTGCATAAGAATACACCCCAGCTCTCGGGGAAAAGAAAAAAAACCCACTACGTTTTGTATTTGTGTATTACTATTTATAGCTGTTTGAACCAAAGCAAGGAGAGAAGATTGCTGGCCTTAGACAAGACGACAAACTTAAAAGGAACAATCAGAGGGGATCATTTCTTCCCTGGCCCACTAACATCTTCGGAAATGAAGTTAGCTCCTCCCTCCAACCGCACACCTGTCAGTGGTAGGACAATAACTGTGGAGCAATCAGACAGGCAAGCACTGTGAACATGAGTAACAGGCCTTCTCTCTTTAGAGACCAAACATTCCTGCTTTGACTCCAGTTCATGGTAAAGCCTGAAAGGCGATTGAGAATGTGTCGTCCGAATTAAAAAAAAAAAAAAATAAAAAATAAAAAAACACAACTCAGCTCAAGACTTCAGTACTAGTTACACCTATAGCAGAGCATTTGGCATCACCCATTAGCGTAGTACAGCAACGAAGGCTAGTTTCGTAAAGGAAGCAAATTACTAGAGCTAAAGCATAGGTACCATTCTAATTTTCTCTAGCCAATCCAAGCGTTTTACAAGATACATGAGTTGCCAGCCAGTGCTGTCCTTAAACATTTAAATAAAAATGAACCACAATTGTGCGTCTCGAATTCTGTTTTCACAAACAAAAATGTTTAAAAAACCCTTCACCCCCATCTATCTAGAATATGGCATAGCTGCTGGCAAACAGTCTCATCTGCAGAAGCATTTTCACACTGGTATTCGAGGGCAGTCTCGCTACAGAAAATGCGCAGCTAACCGATTTCTGACACAGGTAACTAACCGGGTGCGTCTTGTGGCGACAATGGGATCCAGTGCTCAATCCAGCCGCACTCGGTGAGACACGTCACGGTCAGAACCGTCTGCCAGCCTCTCAGGGTATTCATGAAGCTTGTTTGTTTTTTTAAATAAATGGGTGAAACGAACAACAATCCTATCTAGCACAACACAGGCACCGTATTGGAAGCCTGACCTGTCAGGCAAGAGGAAGTTGCAGCCAAATCTACTATCCTCTTAGGTGGGTTCTGTTCACCAGAGTTTCAAAGTGACAGTGTGACAAGCTTGGCCTAACTCTGCCTGCTGGTCCCATCTGCAAGTTCTCGCTGCTGAACGTCTTTCTAAGAAAATAAACATCAGCTTCAGAAAGGTGACGGGCATCACCCACGGGGACTCGCAGATGGGACAGGTCGCAAGGCTGGCCTGTTTTTAGGCTTCCCAACCTTCACAAGGCCTCTTATGAAGTGTAGTGGCCACAGCAGCTGATGAAGCTTAGGCAGAGAGCAAAAGGTGTCTCTGAGCTTCCAGCCCTGCTGTTCCAGCATAAAGCTTGAGAACTTGCTGATAAGGAAAGCGGGAGGGGGGGGGGGAGAAATAAATAAACCACAGTTAATCAGCCAGGTAAAGAGTTTTTGTGAAAAACAGGAAAAATACAGAGGCATGGAGAAAACCATCAGTGAATAAGAATATCCACGAGGATAAAGATTCACGGGACCGAATAACAAACAGTTCCTCGCCGCCCGTTGCCAATGGTGCACTACGCCCATCGCAACGCTACCCGCGCAGCTACTTTCTGCACGTTCGGTGAGGCGTCTGCTTCTTCTGCATCTCCAGCCGACAGCGGCTTCGTTCGTCCAGCCACGGCAGCTCAAAGTTCCTGTCAAACAGAGAAAAAGGCCTTGATCCATGATGAAAACACCCAGTTCAGAACAGAGGGAGGTTTGTTTTGAACGAGACGCTGTAGCTGAATTACTGCCCGCACCCCCCAAACAATATTGGATAATTAATCATAATTAGAGTTTATTTATTATTGCATCAGTCGATTTCAAAGCACTTTACAAAGGGAAGCCTAGAGAAGTGCAGTGATTTGCCCAAGGTCACCCAGCCATTGGACTAGACCCTCGGTCTTCTGAGTCCTCGCCCAGTGCTCTACCCTTCAGGGCCACTGCCTTCCCCATCAGATGAGGGTGCAAATCCGTACAGGACCAGCCTTCAGCAGGACGACCAAAGCGCCTGCCCTTCTATCGTTATTCCCTATGGAAGTATT